AAGAGTTAGAGCAAGGAATTGAGGAACCATTATCTGAAGATTTGCAATCAAAGGATCCTAGTGAAAATAAATTAATCACAGGGGTTAATTGTTTTGATTATATTAAATTAAAAATTAGGAATGCCTAACTTAATACACTAATTCATTCTTTCATTCATCCTATTTAACAAGAATTCCTTGAATGTCCACAATAGGCTCTAGAGCAGTGACTCCCAACTTGGGGAGCAATGTGATTTTTAAGGGGGACAATTCAAGAATGAGTTACTAATAGTGAATTTTTTGCATTTCTATCGTTCTAGGGGCCTCATATACAATATATAAATATATATTGTGACATATTATACATTTCAGTTCTCTATTATATGTTTTGAAATTTTATTTGCTATTTTTATATCACTTCATATTATTATTTTTTAAATAATTTCTTCGTGATTTCTTCCTCAGTACTTCAGCTGTCCTTGTATTCTTTTATTTTTCTCTTTCATGGATACCATGTTCTTTGGAAGCTTGTTTAGACCAAGTTAATGGCCTTTTAGACTTCCTCCATGTGGATAGGACTTCACTCTTTAGATAAGAAGAATTCTGTGTCACAGGGGATCATCAGGATTTTAAAGATGTGTCGGTGGGGCATGGCCAACAAAAGGTGGGGAACCACTGCTCTAGAGTTCTAAATGGACTTGGTACCAGCATCTTGACTGTCACATTTCCTGCCATGGGATTGACTGGCTAACCTCCCTACACATGGTTGTCTTCTAACAGTCCAGCCAACTGCGGAGCATGCTGTGGCCCCAGGACAACAGCCGTTCCCTGTGGACTTGGACTGTCCTCTCCTCTTCCCTGTGTCCTTTAAGTTCTTCTGCACTTCTGGCCCCCTTTTCCCTCAGCCCCACTTACCTTCCCACTTTTCCACAGAGATCAAATAAGTAGTTCTGAAAGGTACCGCCCAGCCGAAGTTTCTTTGACATACGAGGATAACTCTGCCGTTTAAAAAGGGGAACCAAGGAGTATTCTTACCATCATGTGTCCTTTTAAGTCCAGCTTTGTTGGGTACAGTTATTAATTGCATATACCTTTTTAAAAAGTTATTTTCATTTTTATTGCACAGATAAAATGTTCTTTATAATGTCCCAAAAAATATTCTCTTTAAAATGAGGAAAACAAGGGTACAAAGTTTTGTAGCATTAAAGATATTCATCTAACAGGTCTTTGTTATCATGTAAATTAAGAACTCTTAGTGAAGTAATTTCATGCCATTCTGTAGCCTTTGCTCTCCTTCCTCTGCCTGGCATATAGTTCAGTGGTTGATGGACTGTATAGCAGCATTGCTTCATTGGTCCCTTATAGACCTGCTAAATAGTTACTTGGTTTTGATTTCAGATTTACTAGTATTGCTCACTTTTCTCTCTATGCACCAATACATACCAAGAGAAATAGAAAATCAACTGCAGACAAAACAGTATGTGTGTAATTATGCATAGTAAGATTTAGACTTCTTCACATCTATAATAATAAAAGGGTAATATGCTAATTAGGCTGGACTCTTCTGGACATCATTCTGGACATCCTTCCTGACAAAGCTGGGCCAGAGGGAAGCCAGCCTGGATCCCGGGTGCCTGCGGGCAACCGGAGGAGGGAGCAGGGTCCTGGGTGCCGGAGGGAAGCCATTGCTGGTGGCCGGGGTGGGGGAGGGGGGAGGAAGGCCTACTCTTGCACAAATTTTCATGCATCAGGCCTCTAGTTAGTATATATAAAGTAGTGTACCTAAAAGGGCTCTTATTATAGACTTTAAGTTATAATTTGAAGGAAACAAATACCATATTATTTTCTCCATTTAGAAGATGGCAAACATATCAAAACACAAAAGTTTCTATTTTTGAGGTCCCCAGTACCAAGATCCATATTTATTGTCCTGACTAGATGTTCAGGAAATGTTGCCCTATTTTCACACGTACAATCTTATTTGTTCACAAGAACCACACCCTTGTCAGGACTGACTAAAGCTGTTCTTTTATGAGCGTGCCAGTCACGCCGTTTTGACTCTTTTCACAATAGGCTTCAATCCCTGCAACTGAGTCAGTTATGTAGAAAACCACAAATCCACATTGACTGATAAGAAGGCTGGAAAAAGTGGCTGAGATAACTCTTTTTTTTTTCATTCTACTAATAGAGATCTTACATAAAACTGTTTAAGACACAGTAGATAAACATCTTTCTATTTTAACTTACCTAATAATATAAAGCTTTGGCTACTGAATCTTTTTACAAGTAAAAAGATACATTGAAAACTTGAAAGGCACATGTGTAGAAGGAGACACTTAAAAACAGTTGATTGGCCCTAGTCAGTGTGGTCCAGTTGGTTGGGCATCATGGGGTGTACTGTAAGGTTGCCAGAGCAATTCCTGGTCAGGGTACATGCCCAGGTTGCAGGCTCTGATCCCAGGGAGGGGGTGTGCAGGAGACAGCCAATGGATGTTGCTCTCACATCAATGTCTCTCTCTTTCTCCCTTTCCATTCCTCTCTAAAAATCAATAAAAATATTTTAGAAAAATAAATTTAAAAAGTTGATTGGAGCAATGTTACAGTAAGATGTTAGAAATAACCTAACAGCATTGAGGGACCTGGAGAGTATTTTGCTAAGGGAAGTAAGTCAGTCAGGGAAAGACAAGTATCTCATGATTTCATTCATATGTAGAACCTAATGAACAAAAATAAACTGATGGACAAAATATACGTAGAAGCATGGAACAGACTGATGAATCTCAGAAGGGAGGTGGGGGTGGGTGGGTTGGTGGGGAGAGATTAACCAAAGAACGAATGCATAGATACATAACCCATGGACACAGACAATAGTGTGGTGAAGGCCTTGGGGGATGGCAGATGTGGGATGGAGGGGGTCAATGGGAAAAAAGGGGGACATATGTAATACTTTCAACAATAAAGATAAATAAATTTAAAAAGAAAGAATCTTGTGGCCATCACTTTGGAAGTGGATTTTAAAACTCTTGGATGGCCCTAGCCGGTTTCCTCAGTGGTTAGAGCATCGGCTCTTGGAAGGATCACCAGTTCAATTCTGATCAAGGGCGGGTACCTTGGTTGTAGGCTTGGTCCCCAACCCCTCCCAGTGTGCATGCAGTAGGCTACCAATCAAAGTGCCTCTCTCGCGTCGATTTTTCTCTATCTCTGTCTCTCCCCCTCTTTCTACTCTCTCTAAAAGCCAATGGAAAAATATCCCTGGGTGAGGATTAACAAAAATAAATAATAAATAAATAAATAAATAAATATCTGGAGTGAATATGCATTGGACTATTATCGTATTTCATCTAAGTCAGGTATCAACCAATTAAAACCATGGACCAGTACAGCCCACTCTTTGTTTTATAAATAAAGTTTTACTGGAACATAGCTTACTCATTTGTTTATATTTTGTCCATAGCTACTTGTATGCTATAATTACAGAGTTGATTTGTTACAACATAGACTCTTTGGCTCTCAAAATGAAAATCAAATATTTACTATCTATCTCTTTACAGAAAAAGTTTACCAACCCCTGACCTAAGTTAAAATGCCATCTATTGAAAAATGCACAATTGGTTTATGTACCATTACTAAAGAAAAAACAGTATGCCAGTTAAACTATGACAAGCTACTAATTTTAAGAATCCTAATTTTGGCAACATTAAAATATTGAAAAAATCATCTTGGAATCAATCATGATATATAGTACTTCAATAAATAAACAGCTGTGTTCGTATCAACATGGACAGATCTCAAATGCTTAATGTGGCGTGAAAAGCCATTTTCAGAATGATGTGAACAGTATATTATTTTATCTCTTAAGAAGCACAAAGCAATATTATGAGTTTTGATGAATGCAAATATGTGTACATAAGCATAATTTAAAAGAACTGGAAGGATTTAAAGAAAACTGATGATAGAAGAGGAGAAGGGATCAGGTTGATTATAGAAGACAAAGGAGATTTATCTCTAGCTATAATGTACAGGGTTTTATTTTAAAGGTGATTTATTAATACAAAATACATTTTTAAAGCATCAACACATGGGAAAACTGGAAGAAAATATGTCAAAATATCAACAGTGGTAAATACGTTATAGCAGAAGTATGGTGTAGTACAGTAGACATATTTAATTCTATTTCACTATAATTTTTTTAAACTTCATGAATAACGAAAAATGAGTCATGTTCTTCATTTCTATCGCAATCAAAAGAGATTAAGGTTTGAAGAAGTGCATGTTAATCAATTACCTGGCGTTACAAGCTAATCCTGTTTTTCTACCATGGCATTAAGATTAAACAATGTGCAAGTTGGGGCCAAATTTCATAGTTAAACTTTTTTTTTCCTTAATGGTGGTACAGCTAATCTTTAAATACAATGAACTTTATTCCTCACCGTGAAAAACCACCAACTGTAAAAGTTAAATGTCAGGTGCATTTTACCGAACAGAAATAGCTTGTCATGAGTCATGTAATTGATGTACGGATGCACTTCTTTCAGCCCGACCTCACATGTTTTGAAATGTACATTGTGATTTTACACGATTTTCTCTGTTGTCACGTGCAGTTCAGACCCTAGTGTTACTTATTAAATGCTTTCATTTTTGTCACTTGTCTATAGCAGGACTTCCTAGAATATTCTCTATAAGCGTGTTCAGAAGTTCACAATTTTAAGGTATAATTGCCACACCACCAGCTTGTTTCTTATTCGAAAATGAGGATCAAGTCACCTGCCACTGCTTTCATTTAGGTTTTGTTTTTGTCTTGTTGTTGGTTTAAGCATGTCTTTCACTCCTTAGGAGTGTTTCATCAGAAATAGATCAAACTGCCTGCCTTTGAGACTGAGAAGTGAAACGTGTCTGGGAAATGTGGACCGGGGCCTTGCGTCTGTGTGAAGCTTAGACTGTGAGACGAAGGTCTCCTGCTACGAGGACCAAGACAGGCTGCTGTGTTTCTCACTGTCTAACTCCATTTTTTCTCTTTCCAGTTCCATTTCACCATTTAGTATTGAGAGCACAAGACGCCAGAGACGGTCTGAATCCCCAGACTCCAGGAAACGGCGGATTCACAGATGTGATTTTGAGGGATGCAACAAAGTGTACACAAAAAGTTCTCACCTGAAGGCTCATCGGAGGACACATACAGGTACAGTCCGCAGGGCTTCTCGCCGGGGGTCAGCGAGAGTCCAAAAGGGCCAGCTGGTCACCCCCGGAGCCAGGAGGTGCTGGATGGTGTCATCGCACGCATTTCCTCAGTTCAGTTCCTTTCTGAGCAGAATGCTGTCCCTCCCTCAGTTGAAAAAGGCTTAAGTCTTAGTGAACTTTAGCAACCAGTGAAGTATTTCTTCTATGTCTCTGCAAAGTAATGGAAAAGGTATCCTCAGGTGAGGATTAACAAAAAATAAATGAAAATACATAACCACACTATATTAACCATTTCCCAGCTGAGGTAGTAAAGTCATTCAAGTCATCCTTTGCCATTTTTGAGCCACGTTCTTATAAGAGACACTGCAAGGCTTCTTTCCAGAGACTGCCCCGTGCCTCCTCACGTGAAAGCAGGGGTCGTGTGTGTGTGTGTGTGTGTGTGTGTGTGTGTGTGTGTGATGATGATGAAGTGATGGCAGAGGAGGAGGCCTGCCTGAAGTCACAAAAGCATTATTAGATCAGGAGTTGACTTTTTTGCTCATTTAATGCATTATACTTTTAATACTTACAAAATAATCAACACATTTTGCAAATTACCTCTTCCCTCTTCCTTCCCTGCCTCCAATACCTTCCCCTTTTTCCACTGAGTCAGTTTCCTCCCTCTCCATTGTTCCTGAGCTTCCCCAGGAGAAGTTTTCTTCTGTTTCTTAGGTACTATTTTTGAATCAGTTTCTTTATCATTGGGGCAAAGAATGAAGTATAGAGATATGAAAATGAGTAACATGTTTTACTCTATCACTAGATAGTGAACAAAATTATAGTATGATCAAGTCATAGTACTTTTATGGGACCATTTCTGCTTAAATAATAAAAGAATGACCTTTCTTCAGTTAGTCGTCATATATTTTAAATTACCTTCCTTTCCCTGAACTTTCTAAAATACGTATTAGCCTCATTTTCACACGGACACCTCTATTCCATTTATCCAAGTGATGAACAGTGACAGAAAGGAAAAGGTTTAACTTGGTACTACTAAGGGATATGACTCCATGGCGTTACTAGATTACAAGTTTTACCATATACTGTGGAAGTAGGGCAGACATGCTGTACGCATTGTAATTCAAAGCAATATAAACCTTGCATGCTGAAGTGGAATTCATTAGCTTGGCTTACTAGTCAAATGAAGTCATAGACTTCTGGGATCCAAATGGTTCAGAGTCTAGTTTGTTTCCTAACTAGGGGGTCCAAATGGTTCAAGTCTAATTTGTTTTTTGACTAGAGATCAGGTCACTGCTGTGCTGCTCTCTGCACACTTATACACCTTTGATTTCACCTTCACACCTGTGGCTGCAGCTGTCATCATCTCCTGTGTGTACAAGTGTGGTTCCTGATCGAGTATTGTTCACACAGCAGTCATTTTGCCATCTCTCCTCAAGCACTTTGAGTGTCAGAGAGCTTATTCTTATGCAAAATAAGTTGGGTGACATTTCTGAGGGCATATTCTTTGTATAGTAGATAATTAAATACTTGGGTTTAAAATCAGTAAAGAGTTAGTAACTAGACTAATAATTTGTGTTTTTTAAGTGAGATATAATTGACATATAACATTGTATAAGTTTAAGGTGTACAATGTGTTGATTTGATACATTTATATATTGCAATATGATTACTCCCATAGCTTAGCTAACAACTCTATGGTGTCATGTAATTATCATTCTTTTTGTAGGG